TATATATTTTATCCATTTTCAGCAGAAAATTACTCAAACTTAGTCAGAATCATCTTTGGTGAATGAGAGTATTACTTTGGAAAATTGGGATTCCTGCCCCATCCCCAGGGGCTAGGGTGGGGCCCCAAAGGGAACATTTACCAATATTTTCAAATTCTTATCCTTTGATGACATGACAAGTATTGTATTTCACTTAGTTTACATGCTGATTTCCACATCACATCTAAACAATAAAATAAAGCTTCCAGTACCTATGATATAACTCAGGTGACCGCTAAGGCCCTTGGGCCTCTTGTTTAGTTAATACATAGGTGATATGCAGACTTATCTTTGAGAGGAAACTATCAAGCCAAGCAATATGAAGTTCAATCAAATGTTATCACAAGATTTATTTACAGTTTACGTGACTCAATCCAATAGATAAGAGAAAAGAAGATAAAATATCAATGTTACATAGAACTGAAGAAGATCGAATGGTGATGGGTGCCAAGATCATCCTAGGATCTCTTGTTACAATTTACATATTTTAGTTAAAAGACAAATGCCATCAGACACAAATCAAGAGCTTGTTACATTTAGGAACAGCAGACTTACCCCACATAAACTCTTCTGAAAATGATACTGTTACGATGTTCTCAATATTGAGAAAAACCCTACTGAAAGGATAATGTGTAATGGACTGTAATATAGTGATTTAATATTTACAGTTTTAATGGGCTGTAATATAATGATGTAATATTTTCAGTTTTAATGGACTGTAATATAGTGATGTATTATTTACAGTTATAATGGTACTATAATATAGTGATTTAATATTTAAAGTTTTAATGGGCTGTAATATAATAATGTAATATTTTCAGCTATAATGGACTGTAATATAATGATGTAATATTTTCAGTTTTAATGTACTGTAATATAGTGATGTAATATTTACAGTTTTAATGGACTGTAATATAGTGATGTAATACATGTATTTACAGATTTAATGGACTGTAATATAATGATGTAATATTTACAGTTATAATGGACTGTAATATAATGATGTAATATTTTCAGTTTTAATGGACTGTAATATAGTGATGTAATATCTACAGTTTTAATGGACTGTAATATAGTGATGTAATATTTACAGTTTTTATGGACCGTAATATAGTGATGTAATATTTACAGTTATAATTGACTGTAATATAGTGATGTAATATTTACAGTTTTAATGGACTGTAATATAGTGATGTTTTAATGGGCTCTTGGCTGATTACTTTAGAGTTTTGTCTGAGGCCATTCTCACTATCCTTTAGTCCTGTTGCAATTGGTTTAAAGTGATTGTTGGTATGTGTAAACATACAGGAACACTCTGATTTTCCTCCGAAATTTTGTCATAAATCCAATATTGATGATGTTAATTATGATAAGAAATAAATGAAGGAATTGAATTGCTTCCTATGTTGTTATAGTTTTAATGACTTTGAAGAGGCAAAAAGGAAACTATAAGGATTTAAATTTTTTAGATGTTTTATTTTTGTTGGTGTTATTGGGGAGGGATGGTGGGATGGGGTGAGGGAAAATACATTTGAACTTGGGTAAATTTTGTGTAAATACCTGACACCTGATTATTCCATTAACCCCCAGATAGCCTATATAAAGTGCTAAGTTAATCCTACAAAGTGTGTAGTACTAGAATAATACCCAGTACCTAGCATACTGTCATACACATTTTATTCACAGAATGCTCACGAACCTGCATGTGAGAGTAGACAAAGAAAGGCCCCGTTTGAAGACAATCCTTTTGGGGGTCGTTATGCAAAGCCTAATGGGAAAGACTGGCGAGACACACATGAAGATTTACTGAGAAACATACGTCGTGCCAGACGAGCTGCAAAAATGACGAAGGATGACAGTGACTTAGGTAAGCAGAGCTCAGCATCATACAAATCGCTCAGTGATAAAATTTCACTGCTAAACCTTAAATATCTTTACCTGATTTGGAGGCTCTGTTGTGATATAGAATTGCTGATTTTCATTTAGTTTATCCTCTAAATTTAAACAGTAGAATTTTAGCTTGCTTCAGACAGAGTGCTTTTACATAATGTCGATGTATGATTAAACTTATATACATATATATTAGTGTATCCAGTTTTAAGACAACTCGGGGCTGACACAACTCATCTTTAATGGGTACAAATCATACACAGCTGCCACATCGTTAGGTCACATCGTTAGGTCACCTGTGACCTGGTGCGATTGCCTTTTTTTCGTCATCATGTGTCATGTGTCATTATTCCATAATAAAAATCACAATATAACTTCTTCTCAAACACATCTCTATAAAATTTTGCCATGGAGCGCAGTGGTGCAAAATAGATCCTGGCCGAACCAGAGATGGTTATTTGCAGTTTAAATTTTTCTTAAATGTGAACAGGCATTTGGAAGTAACAGACTTGTGTCTCATGGTCACAAGTGACTATACTGAAGAATTTCCTGACTTTTGTGTCTTGGCTGGCATATTTATGACTGTACCATTAACTTCAGTACCCTGTGAAAGAGACTTCTCACTGCAGATCCGTCACCATGCTGCCTCAGCAAACAGGAGGAATGTAGAGGACAGAATGGTGATAGGATATTACTCCACACAGAAGTAATCGTGCAGAGAGCATGTGACACATTCTCAAAGTAAAATGACAGTTGTAACAGCAGAGTGGTTGATTGGTCAGCAGTTCATAAAACAAAACACAAAGATCCTGAAGATGTTTAGTTCGTATTTTTATTTTTTCAGTAAGTAAAATTAGAAATAAAATACCATATCATCAACACATATATGATTTATATCAATTTTGGACACAAATGGTTATGTTAATTTTAAAGGAAAGCCCTCTATACTGTCATGGTGTGATAGAGCATTGACATTTTCACTGAATGGGCAAGAATTCAATATAGAAAATGTGGCACATTGCTTATTTGTGAATTGCTATGTTTGTGCAGGGCCTGTGGTGTGTAGATATTGCGGCCGGTCATTCAGTAAGACTGCTGCTGACCATCATATCCCATTCTGTGAGAAGTGGACGAAAGATCATGGGACACCCCTCAACCCCCAAAGTAAATCAGCTGGCACCAGTACAGGCAGCAAGCAGGAACGTGCCAAGGAGGTGGGTATGATAGGTTTGGGAAGTGTTGTTTGCCTTACGTTGGCTACATTTGTGTAATTATTGTGCAGTCTGTATGTAAAATATTAAGTTCAAAAATATTCACAATCATGGATCAAATATTGACATTTAACTTCAACATCCATTAAACTTGTCAAAAACAAAAGAACTATTTATAGGAGGCATGACAGTCTAGTGGTAGGACGTCGGGCTCGTGACCGAAGGGGGGCATGACAGTCTAGTGGTAGGACGTCGGGCGCGTGACCAAAGGGAGGCATGACAGTCTAGTGGTAGGACGTCGGGCTCGTGACCAAAGGGAGGCATGACAGTCTAGTGGTAGGACGTCGGGCTCGTGACCGAAGGGGGGTTGAAGTCGACGTCACGGCACTGTGTTGTATCTTTGAACAAGACTTTACTCTGCTTGTTCCAGTCTACTTAGCTGTTAATGAGTACGGTGGTTGGACAGTGCTAGAATTGTTGAATGATAGCTGTGAGCGCCGAAATGGCAGCACCGGCTGGAGTTGAGAAAGATATTTGCTGGTTGCAAAGGCCCTATATCCACGGATAATAATTTTTGAACCGCCACCCCTGCAGGTCTGGATCGAGAATAGAATACACATGCTGTTACCCACTGCATGTATCTCAAGATGCAACTAGTGTAGGAAGCCCATGCAGAATTGGGAATTTGCTTTTGTGCCCTCTAATTGGGGACACGAAAATGACCAAAATAAATCTGCTGCACCCATTGCAACTAATTTCTCCCGCAATCCTTATATATCTGCCACTATCTAATATATCTCCCACAATCCTTGTATCTGCCACAATCCTTATATCTCCCACAATCTTTATATCTGCCACAATCCTTATATCTGCACTTATATAGGCACTGTGCCTAGTGTCATGAAAAATCCACTCGGCATTCCAGAAATTTTACTGTACACCTGAGATTATGAAAAATTTCAATAAATATTTACTGATCTGTTGACCTGTTAAGATGATGTTGTTTAATGTCCATGAATGTTTTTTTCGTAAATACAATTACTACACATCATAACTAGCAACATATGTTTGATTTCCATTCATCAAATATATCGTGTCAACACTGTACCTTTTGTGAAAAAGGAGTGAAGTTTCACTTCCATCTTTCGTTTCGATTAGTTACGGAACATTATGTAGTCTAGTTCCCTGCTGCGATTGCTGCAGTCGGGCCCCGCAGTACATCGTTCAGGACGCTTTGATTCAAGCGCTCAGGTGATTTTTAGGTCACCTGAGCTTTAGCTCAAGTGACCTATTGCTATCCGTTTTCGTCCGTCGTCGTCCGTCGTCCGTCGTCCGTTAACATTTTACATTTCAAACTTAAAGTCAAGTTCTGCTGGGCCGATTGAACTGAAAGTTGGTAGGAATGATCGCCTCATGGTCCTGACAAAGTGTTGTTATTTTTCGGGTCGATCAGAAATCCAATATGGCCGCCACGGCCGCCATTTTGAAAACCTATTTCAAACTTAAAGTCAAGTTCTGCTGGACCGATTGAACTGAAAGTTGGTAGGAATGATCGCCTCATGGTCCTGACAAAGTGTTGTTATTTTTCGGGTCGATCAGAAATCCAATATGGCCGCCACGGCCGCCATTTTGAAAACCTATTTCAAACTTAAAGTCAAGTTCTGCTGGACCGATTGAACTGAAAGTTGGTAGGAATGATCGCCTCATGGTCCTGACAAAGTGTTGTTATTTTTCGGGTCAATCAGAAATACAATTTGGCTGCCATGGCCGCTATTTTGCTACTAAATTCTAATAGGCCGATCTCACTTAAAATTGGTCTAGGAATGATCAGCTCATGGTCCTGACAAAATTAAGTTAACATTATACTATTTTTTACTCAAATTGGTACATATTTCAACAAAAAAAATAAATACTGTAGACTCAGGTGACCGTTAAGGCCCATGGGCCTCTTGTTATGACAAGCATGAAAACGGCATGTTTTACGTTGTTTACTTCCGATGCTGTGACGAAAGTTACTTGGTAAAAAGTGTTCCATTGATTATTCATCACAATATTTAGGCGATAGATCTAGTGTATGTTTCAGTAATATTGACTCGGCACCGGGACGAGTGTGGTTGTAAATTCCACTCGTCCTTTTCAATTTTCACCCGGTCAGGACGAGTGGCCGGGTGGTTAGCCTGAGCCCTGAACTTATATCTCCCTCAATCCTTATATCTCCCACAATCCTTGTATCGCCCTCAATCCTTGTATCTGCCACAATCCTTATATCTCCCACAATCCAAAATATCTCCCACAATTCTTATATCTCCCTCAATCCTTGTATCTGCCACAATCCTTATATCTCCCACAATCCAAAATATCTCCACCGTGGGGGTAGAGATATGGGGCCCAATAGAGGAAAATATTGAAGATCCTTTTGTACCAATAAAGGAATTTTAACCAAGCATATTTGGGCAAAGGGGATTGAGTTTTGTGTTAACAGATGGTTTGGCCCTGCTGGCCCACTTGTAAAAGTGGAAGTTAAGGCCCCCTTGGGGCAGTAGGGCAGAGCTCAATAGGGGATTGCACGAGTGAATATATACGTCCGCGAAATAAATGAGTGCTTTCTGATTCATTAGAAAAACACAAGTGTGTGGTCTTGCTTTTATCACATACCTTCCATATTTGGTTAGAGATCGATACAAAGATTTTATAAACTTTGATATTTTTTGCAAATACCGGGAACTTTACAGTTCGCCATTACAAGGGGATTCCAATAAAAAGTAGTTCCGGCTTGTAGGTAAATACAACATGCCGTATTGCACATGTGCAATACAGAACGTTGTATTTCATGGTCTGAAAATTGCTTGTATTACTATAAAAAGATTCAACAGGTATGTGATAAAAATGCATAACAGTTGCTTGATTAATTACACTACATTTTGATTACACTTTTTTTTAGAAGAATGCATTTTTTTTCAAAAAGTGTTTTCCCCAGGTTTGGGACTTGCGAAAACCATGGTTACCACGCCAAAAAATGCCAAAAAACATGATTTTTAACCCAAAATTTGACCCACGCAAGTCGTAATTTTTTCTTAAATTCTGTCTTAAATTAAATATCACTTACTCGGTAACTGAAATACTCACGTTTTAGCAAAGGGTGTTCAACTGGATTTTTCTCAATATTTACACATGTGCTGAGTACAAAAATAGACTACATAAAAAGCTAGCTGTTGTGTAGACACAGATTTGTAAATGATCAAAAATGTAGTCTGAAGCCAAATTCATTTTTTTTTTTAAATACCTAGCCCACATAGTCCACTTCATCCTGAATATGCCAATTTTAGTGCTATTTTTTATTTTTTATTTTGTGCATGTAACATTACAGGGGTAATTCATTGTACAAAAATATCACCCATGGCCACCGTACGCTACTATACACGGCTACCTATAGTACTCTGCAGCTTTCAAATTGAAAATAAAATACTAAGTGATCTATTAATTAGGCCCCTGGGTCTCTTGTTTCAGTTACACCATAGAAACTTTATACTTCAATTGGATATGAAATCCCTGTAGTTGGTTCAACTCTTTCCGTACCATTATCATGTACAGACGACAACAATATGTCATCCTGGTCCCCGTTGTCGTGTACAGACGACAAAATAAAGGGCCGTCTCATCCCCGTTGTCGTATACACACGACAACAGACTTTGGTGTAACTTGTCCTATGTTTAGCTGGTTATCGCACTCGACATTTGCGTTATACAGTTAATTGTCTTTAAAATCAGCACCCATCAGTTGGAGAGAATTATTTTTATAGGTGCAGAGTACACAATTTTCATTTTGTTACTTATAGTTTTCGAATTTGCTGCAATATGTTTGCATTTGATGTCTCAAATATAAACAATATGGGGGCAACTTAATTCGTTATGAACACTTGTAATTTCATCACCAAATATTTATTGAGATTTATGGAAGTAAATATGAATATTTTAATGTAAGTCTTAATGAAATCTACTTGTATTTAGAAAAAAACTGAATGACTTCATATTCGTAACCATACTCCATCTCTATTTGAGAGCGGCAAGACGTCTTTCTCGGTCTGTCATTTGTGCTGCATAAACCAAACTTCGTGACAAAATCTTCAATTAGTTGAAGGTGGTCACTATATGGTAGAACTAGAACTAATCATAATCAGTTACCAGTTAGTCATAATGCTGCGAAAATGAAGAAGTGTGTGTCTATGAACAACAACATGAAACAATAACAATACAGTCGAAATTACGTTAAACAACCACATTTGATACATTTTAGCGACCATGTTTGACGGAAATATACCAAACGGTCTTTGAAATAATTGTGCATCTCCAAATTTGCGACCCACATTTGACAAAGGGCTACTTTACCATCTTTTCACCAAGTTCAGTGAACAAATTTGACAAAACCAATTTCCAAACTTACAATAAATTCATTGATGTGCAGAAACAAATAAAAAGTCATTCAATATTGTTGATTTAGCAGTGAAATACGGACGGATATTTATCGCAGTTGAGCAAAACCATTTTGATTGTGCGAGTCTCCTTCTAGGCAATGTAACCATTAGGTAGCAGTGTACAGTAGCAGTGTTCATTGTCGCATTTTCCAGACATTTAAAAGGTTTTTATTAAATTTTGGGAAAAAGAAAGTGATGTATAAGGTAGCAGTGTACAGTAGAGGTTTGTGGCCATGGGTGATATTTTTAGCCCACCATCATCTGATGGTGGGCTATTCAAATCACCCTGCGTCCGTGGTCCGTCGTCCGTCCGTTGTCCGTCGTCCGTCATCCGTCCGTAAACAATTCTTGTTATCGGTATTTCTCAAAAAGTACCAGAGGGATCTTTCTCAAATTTTATATGTAGGTTCCCCTTGGTCCTTAGCTGTGCAGGGCAACTTTTGAGACTGATCGGATAAACAACATGGCCGACAGGCAGCCATCTT